CAGAAGCTGGAGGCAAAGCAGAAATTTCTAGCAGCATCTTTTAGAGCAAGGTCAGAACACACAACAGCTCTGTCCAAACACTACTGCCAAGTTTTGTGGGGCAAATAAAATAGTTGTATTCCTTCAAAATTCAGACTGAGGATTGCAGATTACTCTTTCACTGCTTAGAAACCCAGGTAAACTCCAGGAGTGTCAGTGGCTTGGACTACATCCAGACTTAGAAGTACTTTAGGATTTCCTCAATTTGTGTGTGCCTGGGTGATGTTGAATAACCCATTTTTATGTTTGAAATAGCACTCTTTTTTTATTTTCCTTTTTAACTGGATGTGTTTCTTCTGCGTTGTAACCATTACCTCTTGCAGATTTCCATCTCACAAGTATTTTAAAAACCAACCTAACTTACATTACTGACATGAGGTTCTCTGCCAACAGACTTGCTGTTGGCATTTTCTTTTGAAACTTAGCTGTGGAAGGTCTTGTTTAGGTCTATGGGTTAGTACACTTACTCCAGAAACAGAAGAACCAGTGTCAATCACTCTTGCGTCTGGAGGAGGCCCTTGGCTGTCCTACATGGGGAGGGAGGGGTGCAGGAGTCCCATCTTCATCTTGCCTTTGGTGAAAGATCAATCTCTGTTCATCTCTATATGCTCACCTGGCTAGGGAGAAATTGCAAGAGCGTTCAACTACTCACCTACTTGTTAAGATGCTGATGGGAAAGGCACATTTGAATCCCCTCTCCCCAAGGATCTTGAGTCTCATTCCCCTGCCCAAGCTGCAGGGCAGGGATCTGAATGTCAGGCAGGAGTGCTTCTGCATAGAGTGCCTGTGCTTAAAAGCAAGCAACCCCAGCTCAGATACCCCTCAGAGCTGGGACTGTGCCAAGCTCTTTCCCATAAGGGAAGCCCGAAGGCACTCACATAATATTAAAACCACAAGCTTAAACAAGGTAGTTTCTGCAGCAACAGAAAGTATGAGAAGAGACACAGGGCATAAACTCTCTCTCATCCCCCACACAGCCTGGCAACTACAACTCTTCCCCATTTTTCATGGCCTCCTGCTTGCAACAAACTCACAACTCCTCAGGGGCCTCTGGAAAAAAAGTCTTTCCATCACCTCTGCCCACCTATGTTCTCCTTCCAGTTCGTGCACCACAGCAATTCTTGGTCGCCGTCTGTTCCATAAGCTCCACCTGTCTCCGGGGGCACAGGTGGGGCTTGAAGTCAGCTTGCCTCCCTCCTAGCTGCTCTGCTACAGCTTTTGTAACAAAATCTCCAGTGTTTACATATACTTCTGTAAAATACTGCACTCCTGGGGATGTGTGGGCTAGCTCAGGTGACAGCTCTGCAAGCCAGCCATCTCATTTGTCAGCCAGCCCCACCAGGAGGCCACATCTCCAGCAAAGCAAGGGATCAGAGGTCTGTGCTTTCCCCAGCATTGCTGGTCTGTCTCTCCTTAACACAGCTGCCTTTCTGAGGGGACTGTGCTGACAAAACACTCCCTTTCCAATGGTCCCCCTTGTGTCAGACTGGGTATAATCATCCCCTTTTCCCTAAGCATAAGGGTTGTTGGAAGAAATATGCCTACACCATTTCGTGCACTGCCCCCTCTATTAGTCTTCTTGGGGTGGTTCTCTGGTCCTGTAGGCTACAGCAAACAGTTGGAGAGGGGCTGTTGGGAAAAGCCATGGGAAAAAGGGAGATAAAACCAGAAAAGTCAGATTTGCTGTTGCATATAAAAGAACACCACAAAAATGTGTTAAAAGAGCAGTTGCACAGCAGGCTTTTTCCATGTTTAAGGCATATGGAAAATTCATTACTCGCTTCATCAGCCCACAAAGTTCTGACCCAGCTCTGGTGCTGTGATACAGCCAAAGACATTCTGGCTTGTGAGGGTCCCTCCCACGAGGGGGGTAAGTGATGCTGGCATTTGGCACTGGGCTGTTGCACTTGATTCATTCAGCAAGACATCTACAACTTTGCCCTTCCAAGATCCACCAAGGTTTTTGGCTGTGATGTCTTTTGAATGAAAGCATAATGTTAAGAAGAATATTGACTCACACCATTACAAAACATAGAAGTATATGAAATTTTCTTCCATATGAAAAGAATACCTTTTAAGAGCTAAATCCTGCTCTCCTCCAGTGCCACTGTGTATCTGGCATATCACCATTGAAGCCATAAGCAGCAGCAGCAGCAAGGACAGAGGAATATTTAGAGAATTTTGCCTTTTCCATACCTCCCCATTGGAGCAGATATGTTATCTCAAATCCCACATACTTAATCTTTAACATGTAAAAAAAAAAAGTCAATGTACGAAAAATCAAATTGTTCTTGGAAACAGACATATTCCAATCTACAATGCTCCATTTGCAGGGCCACACTTTTAATGTACACCTTCACAGCTTGAATTTTAACATCTTATTGCATTGAAGGTTGGAATTATCCTTTCAAACCTTACATCTAAAGCACAGATTTCTCATACTGCTAAGAGGCAGCTGTGCTGTAACTGCTGCTGCGGACCGTGCTGTGGTTTTATCACTGTCTCAGGGAGACAGGCTTGATTTTCTGAGCTGCCAGCCCTCAGAGCCACTCAGAAGTTCTGACACGCACCTCTTCAGAGCCAGAGCTATGAGGCAGATTGCACCACCTTATATTGGCCTCACATGAATCAAAAGTATCTCCTATTCCTTGCAGAAGACACACAGGAACAAGCATAACCTGAAATACTTTTGATACTTCCAACTTCAATTAGTAACAATGTCCTAGTCTGGGCAAAAGAATTGGCTGAGGTCAGAATGGCCAGATCAGCATGACATCAGCTCAGTTGGTTGGAGCATGGTTCTAATAACACCAAGGTTGTGGGTTTGATCCCTGTATGGGCCATTCACTTAAGAGTTGAACTTGATGATCCTTGTGGATTCCTTCCAACTCAGAATATTCTGTGATTCTGTGACATGTTCAGGAAGATTTTGCCTTGATGAACACCTGCTCAGAAAAACTTGCAGCTCTGTTCCCACAGCCAAATGTTTCTGCTCTGATTTGTTAGACCAGTCCCCAGCTAACACATTTCCTTCCATGGAAATTGACTGCTAGTACCTCTGATCAATCTCTTTAAGAGGCTCTGAGCAGCAAGTGACCCTCAATTATTACAGACAGGCAACTTTTTTCTGTAAATTCTCCCCTAGGAAGGAGATCAGAGTATATTCAACCCGCTCTCATTTCTTCTTCATGTATTTACTCTGCATATAAACTTAACAGATTTACAGTTGAAATCTACAGCAATTGTTACTTGTAATTTCTCCCAGCTGTAATGGAGGAAAGACAATTCTCTTGATTCACTACACTATGTTGCTACATGAGGTGTGTCTGTCCCTTGGAAAGGGAAAAGGCATGGTCAGACCCATACGCTATTTCTCCAAAAAGGATGAAAGGATCTCTACTTTCATCCACAGGGAAGTGTGTTTCTCTAGAGGGTAAGCCAAGAGAGAGAACAGCACTGCAGGGAACTAACTCATTATTTGTCAGTGTGCTACTAAGAGAAGAAAGCAGGAGGAAGGGAACAAAATTTAATGACAGAACAAACAATTTCTTTGTTCCTTCAAAGTGCACGCTCCCTTAGATACTGCTGGGCTTCTCAGAACTAACAGAACCTCTAGCTTAATGATCCCCCAATTGTAAAGATTAGATGCAAGTGAGGCTTTGTCTCCCCCTGGTTAAGTAGCCAAATGAATCCAGACCCCAGAGAACAAGGGGTCTCAGAACAACATTCCCCAGATCATAAGCCAAGAAGAGTGTTTTTATAGGAAAACACGTTACTGCATGTAACACCCAATGAATATTTTCCTAAATCTACACAACAGACAGAGCCTGTGCTCTTCTTGACACAAGAGGGGTGTATAATGATTCTAAAAGACAATTAAACATTACACTTATACTGGTATTTGAAGGAACATTGACAGAACCCCATCACTTAAGAGGTTAAAAAAAGTCATCAAGAAGTCAGCTACTTATCTTGCTCGGAGCTTGTTTATGAAACAAGAGCTGTAAACCACGAGCTGTGCAGAGCTCGAGAACCACATCCGAAGATGTGCTGTCCTTGTCTCCCAAGGAGCAGCAAAGCAGCAGCCCCTCAACAGCAGAGAGCACGTAATCCTTAGGCACACCACAGTGCCATGCTGCTGCCTTAAGGTCCCCTGTAGCAACTCCCACCTTACATTCGATTCAAAGCAGGTTCTGCCTATTAGGTGATCACAGGCCCCATCCAATTAAATCTGACTAATGACATCTAGGGACCATTATTTGGAAACCCTGCATCAGCAGGTTGTTTTTAAGAAGAGAAGGAAATTAATAAGAAAAAACTCTGAAGACCAAAGTTCCTGAACTGACAAATACTCCAGCTATATCAACAGAAACTGATCCACAAAGCATGTCTTATGCTACTTTGGGTAAAGGACTGCTCAGGTGCTGTGCACACTAAAAGCAAACAGAAATGCGTGCTGACTCACCTGAACTGTGTATATTCTACAAATTGGAACCTGATAAATTCCGCTTAGCTGTGTCAATCTTCAGCTACATGGCCACTGAAAATACCACTGCACATGGCAACTGACAGCACTGCAATTTATTTACTAGTACCCAGAATTCATCATGAGCCCCAAGAGTGGTTTCTCCATCAACTCTGCCCATTTTCATTTTTTAAACAGTGACATTTCCCCTGCTTTACAATTGAACCTAAAAATACCCTCTTTCATTTCATAACTTCCTGAACTTTATCAGAAATGTGTTTTATGCAGCAAGCACAAGCACTGGGAACAAACTGGGGTTATGAATAGCCGTGAAGAACCAACAGAGGATTGAAGTAAATTAGGCATTGAAAGAATCATCTCCCTCTTGAACGGGGAACGATGCTTTGAACAGATTACAAAATATCACAAATTGGAAACAAACACATCCTCTTTAAAAATACTTTTGCAAGAAAACAATTCAAACAGTATTCATAGTTTTGAGGTTTGGTTTTTTTGCTCATAGTTTATTGAATGAAATGAAACGGGCAAATACAAGAAACAAGATCTGTGTTCCTCATGTCTCATCTCCAAGGCAGTCCTTTAGAGTGAACAGCTAGGAGCTCCTCCAAGTACAAAGGCCAAGAGAGACCACAGTGCCACAATACCAGAGACTCTAAAAAGGGCAAGAATAATAAAATGCTGTTAATCTACTTATATTAAGGGTTTAATTTTGGTCATATTAAGCCCTGAGATTCTTTTCCAAACCACGTCAGGCCAGAAATTCTCCCTTCATGAGCATCACTGTCACCACCTCACAAGGAGAGTGCACTTGAATCTAGAAATCTCTCCCACTGTCAAGCTTTCAACTCGGCTGTAGGAAAAAAAACCCACATCCACCCCACACCTGGGAAATTCTGCATCCCTCTCATCAAGCTTTTTAGAGATGGCACTACACTCACTAAGATAACCACCTGTCTGTTATGATAGCACATACATAGTTATGTGCTACGCATGGGGTAACATTCCCAGTTAACCTTCAAGATTACAGTCCAGTTGCCCAGGGCTGAAAACTCCCAAGTAGCCACCCAGCAGTCAGCGAGCAAACCTGCTTCTGAGCCCCTCGCTCCCCTGAGGGGTTGGGGCAGGAGGAAAAAATGCGCAGCAGGCTGCTGTTGTGACAGGGCCTAGGATACTGAAAAGAATGCTTCCCCCACTCCCCATTCCTGTGCTTTCCGTAACTCACTGCAGCAGGCAGTTCACGCGCGGAGAGTGCCTCCAGTGGCGATAGACGGAAACCGGCAGGTGAGGATGGTGCTTGTAATCCCGCAGGACGAGCCTGACGCTGCAAGGAAAGCACGTGCCTTGAGCTGTGGCTTGCAGGCTGCTTACAGCATCCCACATCTCAGGGCAGGAATCTATCTAAGAGCTGTCACAGCAGAGAGAGGGTGGGATGAAGACTTGGATCAGAGGAGCAAAGGACAAAAAATTAAGACTTTCTGATCACTTACTGCTTGTATTTATTGGAGAGCAGAATGAACTGGTTCTTTGAAAGCCGTCTGACATCAAAGCGACAAAGACCTTTAAACTCCTGGTAAATCTGTCTCTCATTCAGGCCTGGCCAGCCTTGAACATGAACAACCAAGGCAGGGGGATGATCGCAGGGAGCATCTTCCCCAGAAAAATTCTGGAAAATATACAATATTGAGACATATCTGAATTCAGAAATACTACAGAAGCACTACTAATATAATCAGAAAATATGCAAAACGTGACAAATAAATGACAGGTGTTGGTGAAAAATTAATTTTCTTTTGTCCCAAGATTCATCAGTTATAAAAGCAAACTTCTTCATGATCACCATGGAGAAACCACCAGAGAAACAGCAACATAAACTGACTAGTGCCATCTTACAGAATAACAATAGGAAAACATTTCACAAAGCAGAAATTCAATTCATTTGCTGTTTCAAGAGGTCCATTGTGTCACTTGTATGATGACAATTTTCTGTCAAGGTGGGCCCCAGCACTGGTGGACTCTTCTCCTCTAATGAAGCCACCAATTAGGCTACTGACCTATGCACCCCACAAACTGGTCACAGACCTGAAATTCATACGCACAATGCTTGAAACACCACCTCGTATGAAATTCACGTGGTTCACATGCCCAGCTAACACGGTGAGATACTGTGAGAAAGAAGGATCAGCCTCCATTGAATCCCTAAATCAAAAAACAAAACAGAACAAAGTTTTGTTTCTCCCCAGTGCTGCACTGCTGCACAGTGTCAAGCTCTTCAACCAGTGACAAAATAGGTATTTTAGATCTTGGCATCTCCTACAGATGTCAAAAAGCTGCAAGCAAAAGGAAAGGTTTTGAACAGTTGCCCCTTATGAAGTTAACTGAAGGCAGTGATTCACAGAGGTTTCAAAAATGGAAACTAATGGAAAATTATTTGACCCTTACCCAAGTGAACTGAACTTGAGAGAGCTCATTCAAGGGTAAAGAAGTCACAATGTCATTTCCCAACCTCTGAGCCATCGCATGGCCCCTGATTTCATTTTTAAAATGTCAGCTTTGACATAAATCTACTACTTTCAGATTTATAAAATAAAAATCTAATTAGAACATGACATTTCCAGTAACACTTTCTTTTATCCAAAAGGAAGGACAGTCTGCAAAACAAAAAGTCAGCCACAGCAAACGGATGACTGCTTTCCATAGGACCATCCATGTAACACAATTTTCTGTAAACACTTACTCTGTGGATCTGCACAGTAGCAAATGAGCTGACATCAGAAGAACTAGAAGGAATAATGAGGTGGCATTAGAACAAAGCTAAAGAAACATACCTAAAAAAATAGAAAGCAAAAACTCACTAAAGTGCAGCTAAGTTACTAAGAGCAACAGACTGTGTATAAACAAATATTTCTTAGTATCAAATAGAGCTACAGAGCAGGAAAGGAAATGCCAAGTCCCAATACAATCTCTGAAGGAGTGTTTAAGAAGCATTTTACCTGAACCACAGAGAAATGCATCATAGCCTGCCTCATGAGGAGATTCCTTCTCAGCTGTAAGTGTCCAACAAAATCAAAAAGTAGTAAACACATTTAGCATGCTTTGAAAACTGTGGCACTGCAGAATCCTAACATTCATAAGATCTACTGTTCTAGAGGGTTGTTTTTCCCCCACCCTCAGCTGTTTCCTTCCTCACCTGAAAATTTTACACTCTGTAGAAAGTCTGTGCTTCTCCCATGCATTTTAAAACAATATCAACAAAAAGGCAGCAATTACATTAATGTCTGAAAAGCTTAGCAAGATGCACGTGAAAAAATTTTAACTTCTAGGAAGGTCTACATCAAACTGTGTTGTGTATGGTATTGATGGTATGAGAACTATTTCAAAACACAGGAGGCCCTGTGCTGCAGAGCTGCCAGGAGAAGCCAGAAAACATCTGCCTCACAGCTAGTATCACACCACATACTGGACACAACCTCCTGCACACACAGCACCACTAACCCTGCACACACACCAGCCACCAAGCTCCTCTTACTTTTCAGGACCTCCTTGTCATTAGCTCCCACTACTTTCCCTTCTAGGACGGCTGTTTCCCCACATCCCTTGCCCTTTCCAAGCACTACTGACTCTTCACAGCCTCAAGTCAGGCTCAGCTCAACTTAATGTCTGTGCTCGCAGCATGATGCAAACCTGCCCTGCATTACCCTTGGCAGGTACCAGGGACATGCAGAACATGGCTTGGGAGCCCAGGCTTTGGATCTGGACAAAAATGTGTATCAGCACCTCTGTGCAAATTCAGCTGACCCAGTGGCACCACCCATACTTTGCATGTGGTCATCCACAGAGTAAAACAAACCTCTTTTATCTACCCAGCTTTGAAGATTTGCTTAAGAACATACCATATCTTGAGCAGTCACTTGCAAGAGCTATAACTGGCCACAGTGGATCCTTGGGATTTAGGCTGCTGCTGAAGACAAGTTGATGTGTAAGATTTTTGTCTTTCCTCAATATATTAGAGACAAGTTCCTGTTCTCTAGTGACCTGTAGCTTCATTTCAGAAAAAGTTACTGAATACTTTAAAAGGAACTTTGGTAGTATTCCACGAAAAGGGTAAAATGCTTACCTGAATAATATCTACCAGTTTTCTTCCTGAAAACTAACTCCTAAATACTTCTTCAGCCTCTTCCCTCACTCAAAACTTGTAACCAGCAAATCTTGTCTAATTGCATACATTAAAATGTGAGCAGAACTAAAACTCCAAGGAAAAGGGTTGACTAGATGGTTCTATTTGAATGGGAAACCCTGAAGGATAAACAGACACCCACAGAATGACTGAAATAAAAGGGAGATCAAGCAAGCATAAAAACTCTGAGAATCTGCTAAGAAATAAGCAAACAAAATCTCAGAATCCCATTACTGTTTTGATCAAATACTCATTTTGCATCTCCTTCTTGGGAGCAGGGGGTAAGGGGAAGCAGGCAAAATTTTGCTTTTCTTAGCAAAATTAACATAAAAAAACTTAGCCACAAAAGAAGTGTCAAATAGGAGAAGCCTTCTACCACATTGGACTAAGCTCATGAGATATGGTACCTACTCATGTTCTCCATTAGAACATTGTATTTAGTTATTGCTTTGGGCTCAGAGCAGCCCTGTCTTAGGAGCAGGCATTTGAAATTAGGATGCATTTTCACCAAGAACTGAAACTTATTCATTTCAGAACATTTCAATTTTCAAATTGCATGTACAGCTGTCTGCAAACCAAACTTGTGACCGATGAAGTAATGGTGATACAATATCAGAAGTGACTTACAACAAATAATTTACTACACAATTACTTTGTAAGAAAGATGTGCATTTCTTGCTCTCGAATTTAGAAAGACAAGAAACCAATTGAAAACCACTTGAGAGGAGAGAAAATATGAACATATGAAATGACTGACTTTGAAATATCTTTCCAAAGAAAACAGAGGGATTGCCGAAGGCTATATTGCCCACCACTTACCTGCACAAAACTGCATACACCTCCGAAAGACTAGATACTCGAGGAAACAGATAATTCTAGAAAAGAAGAATGTGTTAGAAAACCAACAAAGGCAGACCTCCTTAACTCACTCGGTAACTAACCTCAACAAGAGCTCAGTTACTTGGACTGATGATTCATTAAACAAGATCTAAAATTAGAACGTCCCAGGGCAACACTGAGAACTGGTTCCAATTCTGTAACCACAGCGCACTGAGGAAAAATACCCTCTTTTATGGGTGAAAAACAAGTTTTAACTCCAAACGAAGAGACCTGTGCATCTCACCTTCTTCATAGATTTTGTTATAGTCTTGGTGTCTATGATGACAGGAAACAGGTTGTGAATGTTCCTTTTAAACTCCTCATAGCTTTCTGAAAGCAAAACACATGCGGAGAAAGGCATCATGAAACTGGGGACAAGCCAATGATATCACAAGTTCATAGGAAACAGAGGTGATGGCATAAAACGATGCACTGCTCCAGCAGCTGGGGCTCAGAAGAGCCAACTATCACTGCCACTTGTGGGTGTCTAGGGTGGCAAAAGGCTACTGTACCTCCTGTTCCACCCCCACTGCAAAGGCAGCAGCCTGGGACAGCAGCTATGTACAGCATTACCTGGAAGGGGCTTGTAGAACTTGTCGTGAAGATGCATAAGGTCCATAAGCATGTTGTGTCCCACCAGGGGCTACGGGAAGAACACAAACTTAACAGCCCATTGAAGCATATTTCTGAAGAGAGCTCAGAGATAACCAACTTTATGCAAGCCCAACAGCTGTAACCCTTTCTTACAGCAGACAGATCCACACACGCTCACCCAGGAGTTATTCAGGCTGCAAGGCTCACAGGAGGACTACTGCTTCCAGGAAATCAGACTTGTGGACTTTGAGGAGAGTATTTTTTTAGCAGAATTCTATTTTCAGTGGATCTAAGGAGCTAGGTGGATTTTCAGCTCAGCTGAACATTGGTAAAATGTTCCAGCCATGAGATTTATACACTTACTCACAAGGGCAGGGACAGTCTTTGCCTGCACATCACCCACAGTCTTCTGAAGCTGAAATCCATTCAATAAACTGCATACAGAACATAAGAATTTCCACACAGAGTCAGACCAATGGTCTACATGGTCCAACAAACTGGTCTGTCACCTGCTGAAAAGCATAACTTGCCCAAAAGGCAAGAATCTGCTCAGTTTTCTTAGATGGTGACTCATGTTGTGTAACACCAGGACTTTTTAAGACTGCATTTAACACAGCAAATTAAAAAGACATGAAAAATGAGAGTAGGGATAAGGCATTTTACCTTCTTGGCTTCAACAAGTATCTGGAAGAGGTTGGTGAAGCCCCGGGCAGACAGGAGAATGAGCTCTATCTGACAGGGGTCACGGGAAGAGTTCTCCAGCAGCTGACGATGCTGTGGACTCACTTTTTTCACCATTACCTGGAAAGAACAGTCATTGGGTATCTCAGCCTGCCATGTTAGTTTTATGTACATTGTTTACTGGGGTTCAGTAATACTGAGGACAAGTTCAGCTTCAAGGCTGCGAAGGACAGAGAAACTGTACATCCCCTGGGATTTTGAGACTGTCTCACTTCTATATGTAGATCAGTGTTCCAGTAACTAAAGGGACCTGCTCTAAGGGTCTTTTATTATTGAGGAAGACCATTGGTAAGAACCGTGGGGGTTTTTTTGGAGCACAAACGAACATAGTTCAATTTAACTTGATAACAATATGGTAAGCTCATTGCATCAAAAACTCAGTAACAAACAGCAATCACACAAACTGAGTCCCCAAAGGCAATGTTTCAGATGAGAAGGCTTAGTAAATCTGACACGGTTGACATTGGTTATCAGACCAAAATAGGACCAATACAAAAAAAACCCCAAAACTTCTGTAAACAGCTTCTAAGCAACTGACTGGTATCACGCTGATGCCATGGTTTGAGAAGTCCACAGCCATACGTTTAATACAGAAAATATTGCACCAAATGCTAAATAGCAGTAGCAAATAGCAAAACAGCAGATCATATAACAGAGAGTAAAAGTCTTCAAAGCAACTACGTGGCAAAAGTCAGCAAAGGAAAACCACAAAAAAGACTAAAACTGTACATTGTTGTGGAGGTATTGAAGGAAAAACCTAGTAAAGACACAGAGAGGGTCCCTCCAGAAGTGCCCCAAGGATAAGCATTCCAGTTCAATGTATTTTGTGGCTACCGAACAAATAGAAACCAGAGGTGCTCAGTTTTCTGTACACCTTTTCCTGGGATCCCACAATCAACATTCCCCAGAACACTGTCTTCTCTGCCTAGAGCCTATCATTAAAAGTACAAGCAACATTTCAGAATCCCTGCAAGAATGTCAGTCCTATCTGCCTAGACAGAAAGGTCCACATTTCCATCTCACCTTCTTGTTTCCAAGAGGCTCCGTCCAAACATTTTGGAGAGCCTGCCTCAGAACCAGCTGAACTTCAAGCACATGATAGTCTGCAACAAAAACAAAAGGAAAAAGAAAAAGGTAGTAAAAGCTTCAGAGGTGCAGACAATCCTCTAAGGAAAACACATTTTTCTAGACAGAAGGACTGACTAGGTGTTTCTCCTCCAGTGTATAGAAAATATTCTTGAACTATGATCCTGGTATGCTACCAGACACAATGACAGAAAGAAAACAAAACAAAACAACAAAGTAAAACAAAAACAACCAAAGCAAAACAAAAACACCAAACAAACAAAAACCCCACCAAAAAACAAACAAAACCCACACAAAAAAAAAGTCACAGTGAAAATTTCAGGCAAATAAGCTTTTGTAAGGACACAGAAGAAAGGATAAGACTAACTGAAAAGAAAAGAGAGAAAGGCTATTCCTCTGAAGAAAAGACACTGTGATTTTGGAAGGTTTCAGAGCAACAGAACCAGAAGCCAACCACACAAGAGACGTACCAATGCATTTTCCCCCACAGCTGATAAGGAACTAACCCAGTTCTCTTCTGCTACTACAGCTGACCAAGTAGATAAAAAACAGCACAGTCCCCACCCCTTTTATTCCAAACTCTGCAAAAAACCATTAACAGACAAAGTCTTGAATACTCTCTGTCCTTCCTCAGCTTTTCTGTATTTTATTCCCTGACCTAAAGGATTAAGCTTTGGGTTCTGTGAGCAAACCTACAAATTATTCCCTGCTAAAATTCCTTGTCCTTCAACTTCTTCAAAACAGCACAGAAATTCCTCAACTCTGCTATACCACTCTCAAAACCTAGCACAGGTGGTAAGTAGCCTGCTTATCCCCACTGGTATATGTGTCTCCATGGTGCTCCTTGCCGCTCGACATGAGAGGGCACCTGAAAGGTGACATGCCTTTCCTTTCTCCAAGGGGAAGAAAATAAACAAAAAACCAGATAACCCAGGACTTAAAACAAATGAAAGGTTACCCTGATTCAGAGCAACTACAAATTCTCCAGTTGCTGCTCTGAAGAAGCACAAAATTACAATAAAGTAGTCAAGTACAACAAAGCATGCTCCAACCACCCAGACATCCACTTCCACTTTGGAAAGATCCACCACCCCAACAGAGCAGAAAAGCAGAGTCCAGAGATGAACTCCTGACAGGAACTGAGGTGTAAACTTGGGTAAAGAGTTGTAAAGGCAGGATGGGCACTGGTGCTTTCCCTCTCAAGAGAGCAGTTTAAGAGAACGGGTAGCAAAGGACAGTAGCAGCCCCAGAGGTTCAGGAGAAGTAATGAAGCCACTCAGACCCCACAGGTGCCTAAGGGAGGCACCCTGTTTCATACCACTCAAATCCTGCAGAATCATAGTCTCCTCTTCCTCTGCTACAGCTATCCAACAGGTCACTTCATCAATAACTTTCCTCAGCACATCCCTGTCCGCAGCACTAGTGCTAGATGAGGGGGAAAGAGGCAGTGTGAGAAATGCTCTTTACAGATGAAGCCTTGTGCCTTGCCATGGGAATGCAAAAACATCATTTCCCAACATTCACCCAATTCTCCACATTGTATCCTGTGATCTCAGTTTTGGTTCAGAGAGACCACAGCATGCTGGAACTGCTGGCACCAATGCATTCAGACCAACAGGCTTCAGTATTTCTACAAAACGTGATCTGAGTGAAGCTGAACCGTCAACACAATCAGTACTGAGGAGCCACCTCTCTGAATAGTGCTCACCTGCGGAATGTCCAGCTACCTGCTAAGAGATGCTGCCTAAAGATCTTCTCCTGTACCTCATTCATGTATGGGATTCCATCTTTGAGGAACTGGGGGGGGGAGAAAAATGCCAGGTTGATTATATTCCCTTGGATTTTCTTGCAGTGCATTAGAGAATTAGCAGGTTAGCCAGGGCAAACAAACTGTAGGCAATCCAACATGTATGGAGGAAAGAAAAGGATTTTTGTCAACTGGAATAATTTTTTTTGCTCTGCTTTTACCTTTCCTTTAATAAGATACTTCCAAGTGTCAAGATACCAGATGCTTCCTGTTCAAAACTGCAAGCTAGTACTCTTAAGGGATGACACGGTCTGAATTTTATGGGAAACGTGGCAATACATAAGACACAGGTAAACTGATACTTCCCCATCTTCGTGGCTAGTAAAGACACCCATGGGGGTCTGTTTAGTAACTTGTCAGCTCACCAGAGATAGGTGGGGTTTTGGGGTTTTTGTTTGTTTTTTGAGGCGGGAAAATCTGTCTTAAGCTGACAAAGATGTGGTTATTGCCTCTACATTGGTTCAGAAAAAACAGCACTCACTATCCCTATTGATAACGAACTGCATGATGCATTCAGCAAGATGGTATTTACCCCAGAAACATAGTGTTTGGGATACTAATCCTGATTTCTTCTGTAATTGCAGAGATTTCCTATCTTCTGGATTTCTGGCAGAGAGATTACGTACCTTATTATAGTCAAAGCCATAATGAGACAGGAACTGAATGCTAGACGCAGAGAGGGTGAATTCGACATCCCTAACTCCCAGCATTGAGGGAAAGAGAAAAAAGTTGTATGAATGCACCACATACCTAAAATGAAAAGAAAAATATCTCTTGAAGACAATGACAAGAAATAACTCCCCCCAGGGGGACAATGTATAAAATCTAAACCGCACTGTCTTCATTATAACAGAAAACTGCTTTTCTACTTACTTGTTTGAGTTTTCTTTTGAGAATATTGCCAGCCCTGTGAGAAAGAAACCTCCGTTGAGATGGCAAAGTTTAGCTGGATGCCTACAGATAGTGTACAATTTGATAAGGGATGTAGGGAAGCCCTCATGAAGTACATGTTTTCCACTCACTAATGTCACAGTGCAAATCTTAACAGCAACTGCCAGGCCACTCCTCAGCTCCCTGAGAGCTGAACAAGGACAAGCCTTTACTGCTAAGTGGGAAAAGGAGTCAAGTTTGATTAAATAAAAAAGATTGAGCAATGGGCAAGAGGCGAGTTGGTGATCAAAGTCTCTAACTATGCATGCACAGATGGGTCTGTGGTCCAACTACACTACAAAAATGTTTGGAAGGAGATGGGCACCAGAGAGTACTGAAACATGGGTTTAACTTCTCAGGTTTGGGTTTTTTTCTGTTAATCCCTAAAAGGCACACTAACATCTTACATACCCTAAGGCTTTGAAAAACATTTAAAATTATTTTGGGGCTTTCTTCTTGATTTCTTATTGGTTCTTAACTGTCAATGCCCTCCTCCACAGGCCCATTCTCATGTTGGTTTTTTTTGTTATTTTAGGAGTATCAGAAATAGTAGCCTTCATTTTCTTCTGATAGTCCCCTTACTCATGCACTATATCAAATGATATGGCTTTGAATAGGAGCTGCCATTATATGCTTCTTGCTTGCATCCTCTGCTTTAAAAGCCCTGTATTTTTAACTGCAACCTTTAAATATAATCAACTTTAGACCAGTAAAAAGTATTCAGCTCACCTGACATGACATTATTTAAAATATTAAAAGGTCGACAGTATTAAACATCAGAGGGGGGGGGGAAAACCAAACAAATGTCTTGTACAAGTATATTAAGGCTAGAGCCACCTACAGGCCCCACCTGTTGGCAAAAGGCTGGTTACCTGTAAGACCTCAGGAGATCACTTTCTGTGTCAGAGCAGCACTTACCAAGCTGAGTAACAGTGAAGCGCTGAACACTCTGCCTGATCTTCAGATACCGCTCCACAGGGGAATCAAACAGGCTAGGAACAAAACCAGAATTGGGGAAAGGAGAGCGGACACATGAAGGTTTGTTACACACGGGTTGCTCTCTCACAGAGCTAAAGCAACAAGTCTCCCTCACGTTTCAAGTCCAGTAGCTTTACCTGGGCTCGCTGCTTTGTGGGAAAGTTGAATACAAGCCAGTAAACTCCGTATCAAGGGCTGTTGAGATGGAAACAATACAAGAGAATTTGAAATTTGAGGCATGTACTTCACCAGCACCAGGACGGGGCTCTCTCAAACACTTCTCTTCACCGTAACCTCTGTCAAACCCACCGGCGGCAAGCTCAAGAGAAAAGGCAACCAACTGCTGTGGGACTGAAGTCTCCAGCTCCCTGATCCCTGTGGCAGGACGAGGCGACGAGGCACGGCCACACACACGTCCCGCAGGAGGGGCTGGCCTCCTCCTGAGCGGTGTGTGTGCCTCCCAACCCCATCACCTCCAGCGCCCCCAGCCCTCCGAGTCGAGGCCAGCACCTCAGCGAGGGCTCCCTTCCCAATCCCTGCTGCCAGTTTTAAACTCCGGGCCTCGGCGCCCACTGTTTCTTTGCACAGCAGCGCCATTATCTGCTGCCATACACCTCAGTGCTGGTGCCCCTACACCGGACAAGGCTAAGCCGCGCCCCTCCCCGGGCGAGCGGCGGTCGAGGGCACGGCTCAGAGCGAGCGGGCGGGCGGGCGGGACGCCCCCAGGGCTCACCCACGAAGGCGGCGCGGCGGATGCGGCGCCTGAGGCGCGGCAGGAGCCGGGCGAAGCCCTCCGCGCCCACCTCCATCGCCGGGCTCCCCGCGGCCCCGGCCGCCGCGCCTGCGTGCCCGCCACTGCCCCGCGCGGCGGGACTCATCCTCAGTAACTAATGGGAAAGGCGAGACCGCGGCAGGTTCGAGGATAATCCGAGCGGCGGGAACAAAGGAGAGGGAGTGTTTTTTAAGAATCACGTCAGTTCAACTCTGAGGGTTTAGTACAGATGCCAGAACCGGGCCGGGCTCACGCCGCTCGCTGATAAACCCCGGCACACAACCGTGGCGTTTATTTCTCCTCTCCCAGAGCCTACAAACACGTAGCAGCAAGGCACTGCACCAGGACGCCGATACGGGAGTTGCACTGACCAAGCCTGGCCTCTCTGAACCAGGTGCTGCTTGTCAGAGGGGTTCACATACCCTGAACACATTAAATGCCGATCACTTGCCAGAGGCACCGACAGCATCAGTCTGTGGACAAGCAGCAGGCAGCCACAGGAGACAATTGGGCTTCTTACTCCCTGCAGATAGCATTTGTGCAGCTTTCCTCCTATGCCTATAGGGTTAAGCAGCTACAATGTCAGGGTTGCAGGAAACCTGCAAGGATGAGTTAGGGGAATTCCATCATTTTTAGCAAGATTAGCCCATACACTTTATTACAGTTCTCAACATTCACATAATGACTACATTTTGCTAAATTAGACTGGCAGCATACAGGCATCAAATATCAAAACATTTCCAGAGTTCAGGTTAGAACAAACAAAATCAAATACCAAAAATAAAATATACCTTAAAATTGTTGAATTATGAAGTAAATTCTGTCAACCTATCAGGCTGGACTATGATAAGTTTATTCTAGCCTTAAAGGTGTTGATCATTTTAGAATCAAGAATATGACACAGTTTTGCCCATTTAAAAGTATTTTATTATAAGATGACACATTCCAATTTTTTCCAGCTCTGGTCCTTCACTGTGCTAATACACACACTTAAAGAAGTGATCATTTTTCCTTGGAAAATCTTCCTAGAAGTCTCCATTTTACCGATAGATTCTTCGTGGCTCACGCAGAACAACACCACCCTCCTCCATTGCTTTTTCGAATTCCTGAATCTTGTTTAAAAGATAGAGACATGAATAAATACAAAGAAAAGCCATCAGTACTGAAATATCAGTGAGGACATGTTAGGTGGAGGGCAGAGCTTTACAGCCTCACGGAAGCATACTACCAGGAACTGCAGCTTGTCAAAGCTGCCTTTTTGAGTGTTGCAAGGAGGGACTGTCAAACCACATGAAGAAAATCATGTAAAATTAATGCCTAAAAAGGAAAAAAGAGCCAAAGGAATAAGGAGATGGGTACTTGCCGAGTCACAACGATATTCCCAGGGGATAATGGCTTTAAAGTTCACAAAGTTGATTCCTGCTTCCAAACAGCGCTGTGCCATTACACGGCCAAGGTTTTTGCATGCAGCTACTCCCTTGGGACTGTACAAGTGTCTTTTTATGGCCCACTCTCGGGTGGAGGCAGATACCACAACATCCCCATTGGAGCGCTCAACAAAGGCTTCTACATAATGCTGTGTCCGCTCAAGCCGCAATCTAAGTGCAGGGAAAAAATAACACGGGATTATGATGTCTTTTCCAGGGAATACATTCATATGCTTAAGTGACTCCCTTTGTGAAATAAAACTGAATGTACTAACATGATATTATATTACATTACATTATATTATGTTATATTATATGTAGGGTTTTGCTTATTAGGACAGAAATAAGAATCATATTACTAGTTGAGAAGAGTGAAATTCCAAGAGCAACTCTTTGTCAGTTACTCAGGTCCTACGTTGCCTCAGACCAGCACGCACTCCAAACCAAGCACTGTACACCTGCACAGTGTGGAACAGGTACATATGAGCTAGATGAGGGGAACTGCTCCAGCAGAAAAAGCTTTAGGGCTGCTATATAATCTCTTAGAGGCTTGTGCTGCCACAGCAGGTAAGAAATTGTTGAGATCTGCAAGTTGTCAGAGAAAACATCATAAATTTCTACACATAACTACACAGTATTTATTAGGAGCAACTATTTCTTACTGCACTGAGACAATTACCAGATTTCCCTGTGCGAACAAACTGAATGTGGATCTCTCCTCAAGAACAAAATAATGATTTTGAAACCCTAGCTTAAAATGAATTTATTTTCTAGAGGACAAGCAAATAAAAAACAAACCAACCCAACCAAGCAACCAAAACCCCTCCACCCCAAAACCCCACAAAGGAAAAAACCCAGACAATTATGTTGTCTCAAATAAAACAATGAAGCTGGTCAGCACAGAACTAAGAGAATCCTGAGTTAAAAACCCGTTGCTTAAGCAATATTACTGCTGCCTTAATAAGAGATGGAAAGATCTTCACTGCACATGCTGAGCTTCATGTGATGCTAGTCTGCTGTTTTTTAACATAGAGATACCTGCTCATTAATAAACACTAGCATGATAACTGATGCATCAACCCAGTAAATACATTTTGAATAGTTACCACCTGTTGGGTTTCTGGGGTTTGTTTTTGGTTTTTTTTTTTCTTTTGGAGTCTTCATTGCTGCTGGTGACTTTCTGACTCACCTATGCCAGAACTCACGCTTTGGCCATGTTGTCTTCCAGCCACGCTCCTTCCTAGCCAGGGCCAACTGCTCCAAGTTACGAGGATTTCTGTTAGTGAAGTCTGGGGCAACAACCTCATTTTCACTAGTGTCCACTTCAGTCTCAGTTTTGAGACGGGCTGTAGTTGATGCAAAATGAAGACCTTGGGAGGAGAGCCGGGAAAAATACCACACAGGTTAAAAAAAATGTAGTGCAAACAGCAGAATGAATACAGTACAGAATGATACAGCTTGTAAAAGTCAGCAGGGCAAAATCAGGTTGTTTTTTTTTTTAAACACACTTAACAGATGGATAACAAGACCTCAACCTGTTTCTCCAATTTATGAGGTGAACTGCTAGTAAATAAACGCTGTTTCAAAACTCATATATAAAATATAAACTCATACGTGACTAGGAGATCCCTAGGACCAAGGCTTTACAAAATACTGAAAACGAATTACCCAAGGAACCAATGACAGCGCTACCAAATAACAAGGTATAATCTTTCATTCCTTGGCACAGCAGCACCGCCAAGACGCCCCGGGAGCGTTCCCCCGCCGGGCGCAGCCGGCACGGCGACCTGTGAGCTTACCCGCTGCCCGAAGCCTGCCGGCCGCCAGCAGCAGGCGGCTGGGGCTGCTCAGCGCCATGAGGAGCCGGCGCCTCCACAGCCCTGGGCGGTGTCAGCTCTGCTCCCTCCGCTCAGGGACACCCAGGCGCCGCCATGAGCGTGGGGCGGCACTTCCCGCGGAAGCGGCCGCCAGAATTCCGCCCGACGGGGACGGGGTCAAGCGGAAGCAGCGAGCGCCGGCTGAGCGCCGCTTCCAGTGCAAACGCCTCGGGGAACTGTGCTCTAGTGTCAGTCACGTCTCACAAAATAGGGCAGAAAACACTTCCCCGACTCGAGGGGTCATCTTTTAACTCTTCCCCGTGAGAAGAGGGCTTGAGGGAGATACCGGGTTGCAGAGGCCGGGTCTGCGTTTCTTGGGACGGGTCTAAGAAAGCGGGAGCTGGGGGCATGGCAAGAGTGGGCGGGGGGCTGCGAGAACCACGGGGCGGAGAGGCCCGAGCCGCTGCAAGAGCTCCCTGGCGCTGCTCATGGTAACACGGTGCCGCTCTGCCCGGCGAGGGTCAGGTCTGTCGCCGCCGAACGGGCACACGGCCCGCGGCAGTGCCGGCCTCGGCTCCTGCAGCCTCGCTCCACTTGCGGGCAGTCTATGGGAATAGTGGTAGTATAATGGGAATAGTTACAACTCAGAGACCTTCCCTTCGAACAATGTAACTGTTGCTTTTGCTTTAGAGGAGTAATGGCAGCGTTCTAGAAGAAATAACATTGTACCAAGTGCCATTATCAAGTGCAATCTCAGTCGTGAATTAAGGTAATTCTAAGTGTTCTGCCTAAAACGTCACCAGAGCTGCAGGGCTCTTAGGATCATCAGGGAGCAGATCTTCAGCTTTTTCTATTGTCTTTTATCTACTCAGAATCTGAGCCTGGTCTCGGAATTTGCAGCATTCCCCTAGGACTTTGGGTATAATCCTGAGCGATGCGGAACGTGTTTGAGAACCACAGTAAAAGACA